GGGTGTTGTGTATAATGGCGAGATACATGAGTTTAAGAGTGAAATGCCGAAATGGGCGGAATGAAGTTTAATTTAAGTGATACTTTTTTTGAAAAATTGACAAAAAATGGTAAAAAAATCCCCGAAACATCATTTGTTATGCAAAACATCAAAAATTTCACAAATTATTTAAAACTCAAAAAAAAATGTTTTGATGTGAACGGGATGAAAGGCGTGAAAATTCTCGAAATTTTCGGGTAATAAACATGAAATCAAAATGAACAAAAAATGAAAAAATCAAAGCTAAAAAACTGTAAAGTAGATGAAGCACGCGAGTGGCAGCACCTGTTACCTTTCTGACTTTAAAACGAGTGTGAAACCTGCGTTTTACGTTCCATGCGCAATACACCCACTTCTTTATGAAGATTCATCAAATACAAGTCGATGTGGCTCAGTTTTGAGCAGTCCCTTGGACTTTGGCTTTGTTGTCCCGCCTCGCGGCACAAATCCGATTCTGAGCGATCCAAATTTCAACCCTCCAATGTTTTTAAACTCCAGCAAGGAGCAGGTTTGCTGTTCATCGGCACCACATTCCCCATTTCTCATCTTCGATGACGAAGTAGATGTATATTGACTGAGGACAAAAAGACTGTCTGTCTTTTTACTTGACTTCCTTTTTTGACGTTTTGTCTTCTTTTTTATGTTTTTCTACCAATTTTGGAGCCTCAAATATCATGTCGTTCATCTCTTATGATGGAGTGATTTGTTTGAAAAATACGGGTTTAGTTTCTTATTAATTCAACGAATTATAAACGATATTTGCCATGTATATAAAACTATAATTCATTATTACTATATTAATAATAATGTATCATAATTAAAAGTAACGATTAACATTTTTGAGAGTGATTATTTTAAAAAGCATTTTTTTACTTTTTCTTTGTGTTCATTTTAATATATTATATTTTTAATATTTTTAACCATATTAAATTATAATGAATAAAATGTACGGTAAAAATAATAAAATTGCCA